GTAAATAACTCAGTTGAATTGAGTTCATAAGTAACTTCCATTCTTACATACTGCAGGTGGGATGTGTGTACCTTTAGGCACTGCACAATACCCTTGAAATCGGATTGGACACTACCACCTATCTTTCCTCTTCCACATTGATTTTTATGTGGTACTTACTTTTTACTATGGCAAAAAACCATAAAACCAGCTTTGCAAAGACATGATGTTATTGGAAGGAATGTAGGGCCATTTAATATTACAACTTCGAACAACCTTGAGCTAGTCATTCACGTGCTGTCTGGCAGATATTGAGCATCATTATATTTCCTTTGAAATTTTATAATACCCTGTAGTCCCTCTGTGAGTTCAGTGCAGCTCTCTGGGGTGCCCTGGTACACAATCTGGGAAGTACAGGTTTATTTAACAAGAAAGCCAGAAGTAGTTGATCTTGGGGTTAGTCTGGGGGCTTGGTGATATCATCAAAGATCTGCCCTTCTGGCAAGTTGTACCTCATGGTCTCAAGATAGCTGCCATGGCGCCAGCATCACATTCTTGCGCCACAGAGCAGCTGTCAAAATGAGAAAGGAAAGAAGGACAGTGCAATGGGATAAAACAGACCTGCTTTTATACTCCATCTGGAACTGGTGGTGGATGGCAGACAGGTGCCTCGGTTGCAGAGACTTCTTGAACTAAGCAGGAATCAAATTGAGAGGCCTTGGTCATGTCAACCAGACCTGGGATTGGAAGACTGAAAAGTTGGATGCCTGATCTGAGATTTGAGTGTGCAGCAGAAGCTGGCCCACGGGGCAAAACAGGACTCCAAATAGGGGGAACAGCATGCACAGGGAGGGGTGCGGGCACCTGGCTCATCTGACACATTGTTTAGGGCTCATGTGGCAGGAGATGAGCCAGGGATAGGACTTGATGTAGGAAATATGTTAGGGTTCGAAGCCAATGGCCAAGAAAGAATTCTTGAGATGTCTTTGGTGCAAAAAGGCGGTTTTATTAAAGCACAAGGACGTGGGGGGGGTGCCTGGGTGGCTCAGTGGGTTAAAGCCTCTGCCTTTGGCTCGGGTCATGATCCCAGAGTCCTGGGATCGAGCCCCGCATCGGGCTCTCTGCTCCACAAGGAGCCTGCTTCTCCCTCTGTCTGCCACTCCCCCTGCTTGTGCTCTCCCTCTCTCTGTCAAATAAATAAAGAAAATCTTTTTAAAAAAATAAAATTAAAAAAAAGCATGAGGACAGGACCCTTGGGCAGAAAGAGCAGCACTGGGGTCATGAGGAATGACCCATTATATACTTTCAAGTTGGTAGGGGGTTAGGGATAGTGCAAGTCTCCCAGGTATTCTGAAAACAAGGTTTCCAGGATCCTGAGGGGGCTAACTATGGTTGGGAAAAGGTCATTTATTACTGTTTAACAAAAACTCCATCATGAGACCCTTCAGATTTGTATCAGAGGGTCATATGCTTGGGAGATGATTGCCAGCATGTATCTTGGGCGGTAGAGATAAAGGAAGTTTCCAAAGGAATTTTTGTATGTTAAAATAGATTCACAGGTCCATGGGGGTTGGACTAAGATTGCCTTTTGCCCTCAGCAATCAACATCGAGGCAGCTGAGTCCCTAGAGGAATGTCACTCTGCCTGTTTTGAGGACTTGTCGGTGGGCTGTAGGTAGTCGGGAAATTTAATAATTTCTCTTCTGCCTTTGTTTCCCACATCAGGACTCACAGCCTCTGCGGCTGGCTCTGGGAGTTTAGTTTTGTCCTGGAAGCCACAGGAAGGGCTGAAAGGTTTCAATGCAGGGAAGGACATGATTAGGTGGACAGTCTGGGGAGCTGTCATGGGGCAAAAATTTCCAGTGCTCACGAAACACCTTTCTCTTTTCCTCCTGGGCACATGGTTAGACTACATTTCGCAGACTCTTTTGTGGTCAGGCGAAGCCACAGGACTGAGTTCTAGTCAATCCAATATCCATGAAAGTTCTATTTGCCACTTTAGGCCTAGCTCATAAAAGCGTCCTGCACAACCCCCTCTACGTCTTCCCTTTCCCCATCTGCTGGCTGGTGACCTAGATGGTGGCTCCCCATGGTGGCAGTGGCTTAGATCTCCAAGTCACCATGTCATAAAGGGCCTGCTATGAACTATTCTGTCAACAGGGAATCAATATGCATTATGTAAAGCCATCAAAACGCTGGGCTCTTTGTTGCATGGACGAGCCTACTCTGACGAAAAGGTACTCCGACAAAACGTAATAATAGGGATTATTGATGGGACACCTGCTCTGAATTGGGCGCTGTGCTCAGGGCACGGTCTCATTTAATCTACACAACTACCTTGTGGGGTTGGGGAGCACCATTAGCCCACTTTTCCAGAAGAAAATGCTGAGGCTGAAGGAGAAGCCGGCAGGAGAAGGCAGAGAGGGCTGACCGCCCCCACCTGGACCCACGTGCCCTTCTGGCTCCCAGTACAAGAGGAACGGATTAAAATGGGTGAACCTTGGGGTCCAGATGAGGGGTGACAGCAGGCCCAGCTGGGAGTTCCCGCCTCCTGAGATGACTGTAAATGTTAAGCGATGGACTGCATGGGGGGGGGGGCAGTGTGGGGCCTAGACCCTGGCAGCTGTGTCATGACCATTTGATTTTTTTTTTTTTTTCAAGAGCCTAAGCAAGAACGGATGGAGGCCTGGGTAAAACCAGGAGAGAGATGTTCTCGAAGCAGCTCTTGGCGGGACTGGGACAAAGCGTGAAGAAGATGGGGGAAGTCGAAGGTTGCACTGTTGTGTCCTGTTGCCATTTGCAGGGACACAGGAGGAAGGGGCTAAGAGACATCTCGGACGGTGTGCTGTGGGTACAGAGGAGGGATGGTGATCAACCTAAACTATCCGAGATGTGCAGATATTCAAAAGAGGGCCTCCATTCTGGAGCCTCCAGCTGAAAAGAGCTTTCAGCAAACTGTCATGCCCTTGATGAGTCTTCGCTGTCCTGAAACAGATACTTTTTATCTATACAGCCTTGGGCAATTTCTTCAACTTCTCCGTGCCTTGATTTTATCATCTGAAGATAGGGATAAGAAATCACAGGGTTGTTGTGAATAGATGCGGGGGGCTTAGCACAGTGTGCAGTCAATAGACAGCAGACATTTTCATTAAATTCTTTTATCGCTGACCTGTTTCTCCATGCATCTCTATCTGTACAGAAAAGCACTGAGATAATAGTTATGAGCACTGAAAGAATCTTTGCCTGTCTTAGTCATAGCTACTTTTCCAGTTAACTCTTAGAACTAGTTCACGTAGGAATTTAAATATTTACTGAGTGATGAATAAAGAAATCCATCTCTCTCCTTTTCTTCCACTGTCCCTCCCCCCATTCCTCCCACTGTCCCTCCCTCCCTTTCTTCCGTCTCTCTCTCCTTGCTTCCTTCCCTCTTTCTTTTCATCTGTTATCCATCTAACCATCCACCCATCCATACGTGCACCCATTCATCTTAGAAAGGCAGTAGACTGCAGTGGCTTAACCCTCAAGGTTTTTTCCACCCCCAATTGTGGTAAAATACACACAACATAAAATTTACCATTTTAATCACTTTTAAGTATATAGTTCAGTGGCATTAACTATATTCATATTGTGCAATCATCCATCTCTAGAAATTTTTCATCTTCCCAAATTGCAACTCTGTACCCATTAAACAGCTCCCCAATTCCTAACCCCTGGCAACCACCACCTACTTTCTATCTCTATGAATCTTACTGCTCCAGGGACCTCATATGAGTGGAATCATGCAGTATTTGTCTTTTGTGACTTAACCCACCAGTTTTGCAATCACAAAACCAATGTGACCCTGGGAAACTAACTTTCCTGAATTTCCACTTCCCCGTGTATTAACAAGCTATAATAATATACCCACCTCACAGGGTTGCTGTGAGGTTTAAATGAGATACTACATAGGTAGAAAGCATGTAGAAATTGCTCAATAGATAGAAATATATAAACATAAATCTATATATTTTTTAAGATTTTATTTATTTATTTGCAGACAGAGATCACAAGTAGGCAGAGAGGCAGGCAGAGAGAGAGAGAGAGAGAGAGAGAGGGAGAGAGAAGCAGGCTCCCTGCTGAGCAGAGAGCCCAATGCAGGGCTCCATCCCAGGACCCTGGGATCATGACCTGAGCTGAAGGCAGAGGCTTTAATCCACTGAGCCACCCAGGCGCCCCCATAAATCTATATTCTTAATTAGTAGATGCTGTTATTGTGTTGCTCATGTGTCTGGTACTGTCGTAAGCTCTTTTTTATGTTAACGCATTCAAACCACACAACAATCCCCTGCTGCTCATACTGCTACACCAACCACAGCAGAAAGGTTTCACGACCACCTGACGGCAGAATTGGGACTGCAATCCAGGCACCTGTTTCCAAAGCCCGCAGGCTATCCTGTGGCACACGGTGTCACCTCAGTTGCCTCTGACCGTCAGGGGACGTCATCCGTCCACACGTTCAGTCCTGGATGAGGTTTTGAGGGTGAGTGAGTGTAGGGGTTGAGATATGAGGAGGTGTCTGAGGGAACCCATGGAAAAAAATCACTGAAGACGATCTCGCCAGTGTTCCCCATGCACAACCCCAACCCACTGGGGTCCTCCTCCTGCCCACATGCTGGAGGACCCTGATGGTGACCACAGGGGGCTGGGGGCACTGGGCCCTCCATCACCTGCTGGGGATGGCCTAGAGTGCTCTCCAGGTGATGTGCCCTTTCCCCTCATTGGCAGAAACCTCAGCAATCCTTGACCATCCCTGGCCCTGCCCAGTTAAGATAAAAAAAAATCCTCTTCTGGGCCCCAGGGCCACCTCCCACAGTGCTTTATTGCTTTCTTGGCACCCTCGGGGAGACTCTGCAGCCCTTTAAAAGAGACAGAGTCTGAAGCAAGATCAGCAGCCTGGTCCCGGAGATAAGAGTGTCCAGAAGAGCAGGTGCAGGTTCCCCAGGCAGCTCGGGCACGAGCAGGTTCCAGGCCACTTTGGCCCTGATGTCTGCAGAGGTGAGCCACTGCCGGCTGCTGCCCCTGCCACGTGGCCGTGCAAGAGGGAGCTGAGACTCGATTCAAGGCTGGGGCACTGGCGGCTTCTTTTTGGGCTCTCCTCCCACCTGTGCCCACTCCCTTTTTCCTACCACAGGCAGCTGTGTCTATGTGTGACCGTGAATTTGGCAGTGGCAAGGCGAAGAAGCTAAGCATGGGAGGCAGGTGTCGTGGGTCCTGGTACGAGCGGTTCCTGCAGCCCTGTCTGGTGGAACTGCTGGGCTCTGCCCTCTTCATCTTCATCGGCTGCCTGTCGGTCATCGAGAACGGGACAGACACAGGGCTGCTGCAGCCGGCCCTGGCGCACGGGCTGGCCCTGGGCCTCCTCATCGCCACACTGGGGAATATCAGGTGAGACCAGCTCCAAGCCATCAGTCTGGGCTAACCTGGGTAGCCCGGGGCGGGGGCGGTGGGGAGCAAGGCTGTAGGCAGGGACCCTGAGCATGTACCCAGGGTTCTAAGAGCACTGTAGATAGGAGTATGCAGTGGGGAGTCAGACTGCCCGAGTTCAAATCCTATCTCTGCAGCCTATGAACTCTGTGGCTTTGGGTAAGTCCCCCTCCAAACCCCAAGTTAGGGAAGAAGAGAGGATTTTTTTTTTACATTATTTTTTCTCAAGCCCACACGTAGTCAATGCAGCCAAGGGCCAGTCACAGAACTCAGTGAATTCTCACAACAACCCCTTGGGGGTAGTTTCTATTACTATTCCCATTTTACTGGTGTAACTACGAAAGACAATGTGACTTGCCCAAGGTTCTGTGGTCAGTACGTGGAAGAGGTGGGAGGCAAGGCCCAGCGGGGCGGTATGGGAATTACATGACAGAGAGAGCTTAGCCCACACCAAGTGCTTGGTCACTGTGTGGTCGACATTGGGAAAGGGTTTTACTCCGGCCTGGGGACAATCAGAGTTTAGCCACTTGGGAGTTTTTTTAAGGGGAGGCCAGGATACCTCTTTGTGTCCACTAATCTGGAGTAGAGGGATGGTCAACCACCATGCTCTTCCTCTGGGCACGATGGGGCCTGGCTGTAGGGCAGGAAGGGGGCTGCCCTCTCCTCCCTGGCCCTCACCCACATCCCTTGCCCCACCACCTGGAACCTCAGGGAAAATGGGTGGGATCTGGTGCCTGTTTTCCACTCAGGCGAGGTCCTGGACTCACTCCCACACTGCAAGGCCAGCCTGGGGTGCCAGCTGGGACACATTCTCTTGGGGGAGCCAGCCCAGACCTTGGTCTCAAGGCTCCCTTCTGCTTTTGCGGGTGACAGTGGTGGACACTTCAATCCTGCGGTGTCCCTGGCAGCCACGCTGATCGGAGGCCTCAACCTGGTGATGCTCCTTCCCTATTGGATCTCCCAGCTATGTGGGGGGCTGATCGGGGCTGCCTTGGCCAAGGTGGGTGATTTGCATGGGGGCTGGGCTGGTGGAGTGTGGGGAAGGGGTGGGGAGTGGGAGGTGCCCAGCTCTTTTCCCATGGGATTTTCCTCCAGCGGATTGGGTGGGTCCTTTTCTCCCAGGAAGGGGGACTTTGGTTCTCTCCAAACACACCCTGTTCTATTCATCTCTGGACATAGCCCTTCCCTGGACAGACCAGGAAGAAGAATTTGGGGCATGAGGTTTCTCTTCCTGAGACCATTTCTGGCTTTGGACTGGCTTTGGATAATGTTTCTAGTGTATTTTCTTTCTTTCTTTCTTTCATTCATTCATTCATTCATTCATTCATTCATTCATTCATTTATTCATTCTCTGGTTCATTCATTCTACAAAATGAGGGTTACTCTCCTTCAGAAACTCCTGGACTAACTTCTCTGGCTGTTCTCCAGGTTGCCTACCTTTAAACAGAGTTCCTCTACCTGTGATGGGAGATGGCATTCAGTTTATGTCTGGAACCTTCTCTCCCACTAGGACAGCTGGCTTCTCCTCCCTGCCACAGAAGTTTTACAGCTCCAAACATAACTCCATGGATGGACTCCTTTCCTCTGTCCTTCGCTTCTTTCCTCCCTCCTTCCTTTTTCTTTCTTTCTTCCCTGTTGCTGCTAAGTCTCCATCCAACCAGAGCCTCTTCAAAATGTAGCCCTTGTGGGCATGTATTTTAGGGGGCGTGGGATGGGGGGAGAAGGGGTTCCTGTCAGCCTGGCTGGGGTTTGGTCTGTAGCTCTAAGCACTGGCCCATTGCAAACTTTGGTCTCTAGTCCCAGTTTGCTATCTCCCTGCCCTGGTCTCTCCATGTCTCCCTCTGAGACACCCCCCACCCCCAGCCCCATGTGCAGAAAGGGGCCTGGACCTTCCCGCTCTGATCCTCCAGGGAGACCCATCTCCCAGGCCTCCCTCAGGCTGGGCCACTTGCAAACGTGCCCCACACAATAGTGAGCAGTGCAGGGCAGTGAGCACGCCCTTCCTGTGAATCGGTTTGCACATCTTGTCTTGGTAAATCTCCCGGTGATGTCCCAGGAAGCTGCAGTCAGTTCTTAGAGAGCACCCACTGCCTGCTGCTGGCGCTGGGAGCTCTGATTATCAGTGCCCCCACTTGATGGGGAAGAAAACGCAGGCACTGGGTAGCGTGTCGTTGGCCCAAGTTCAGCCACACTGGTGAGCGTGGAGTCCAGATTTAGGTCCAGGGTCCAAAAGCTTGCTTTGCCATCTTCCCTCTCCAAGGGCCAGGATGACCCCCTGAGGCTCATTTCCTGTGAAGCTCATGCGGGCTTTGGCATCAGGGTTCCCTCATCCCTTCCAAGGGGCCCGACGGGGGCACCGGCAGTGGGTTCATCTGGCCGGAAATGTTTGCAAAGTTTGCTGAGTAAGTCATTTTTGTATTCTTTTTCTCAAAGAGTGTCATCTAGTTACTTAAGCTTCGGGCCCATATGCCTGCAGCTACTGCTGGGTGATCCCATTTTGCAGATGTGCAAAAGGAAGCTCAGAGAAGTCCAGTGACCCTCACTGAGCCACACAGTAAAAACTGGAGCGGATTGGACAGACCCTGTCACTGCTCTGAGGGTTGGGGGCATGCGCTTCGAGCCCCCTCCCCTCAGATCCCAGCCTGCTCCCTGCCCACACTGAGTCAGCTCCTGCTCTCCATAGGCGGTGAGTCCTGAAGAAAGGTTCTGGAACGCATCTGGGGCGGCCTTTGTGACAGTCCAGGATTCGGGGCAGGTGGTGGGGGCAGTGGTGGCAGAGCTCATCCTGACGACACTGCTGGCCCTGGCCGTATGCATGGGCGCCATCAACGAGAGGACACAGGGCCCTCTGGCTCCATTCTCCATCGGCTTTGCCGTTACTGTGGACATCCTGGCAGGGTGAGTTATGGGTCAACCTTTGGCCCTGGAGGAGGTCAGGTCTGCAGCGCTTACCTGAGGGTCACAGACTGGGTTGCTAACAGGGGCCACGGAGGTGTGGGCAGGCATTGGCAGACAACAGGGAGTGGTGAGGCCTGGGGTACTGAAGGAGGCACCACTGTTCACCTCTAGTAGTTGCTGTGAGGGAATGTGGGTCTCCGGTGACCCTTCCAACATCATTCCAGGGAAGTCGGAAGCCTGCCTTCTTATGTGAGCTTTTCCATTTTTCTGTAGCATCAATAAAACGTTTCTGCGGGCTTGTTTGTTCAGCCAATGGGCAGCCAGGCTTTTGCCTCAGACTCACACAGAGCTTCCACACCCTTCAACTCCTTTAGGCATAGCCCCTCAGGGGGACCCGGGAAGGGGCTGAGGAAACAAGCTTGGGTCAGGGATTATTTCTCCCATTTTATATATGAGGAGCTCAGAGAGGACACGTGGACAGTGGCAAATTAAGGGACAGATGTGGGACAAGAGCCCAAATCTCCAGGCCAAGGGGATAAGGGAGCCCCTTCCTAATGTCCACCTCCTTCCTTCCTCTTGGATGCAGAACAGTCTAGCCTTTCCTGGCTCTGCCGCACACCCTTCTGCCTTCCTTTGGTTGGGAGGCGGAGTCTGGGGAACCGGGTGGGTTTGGGGGTTGGGGGAGAAGGGCGCAAGGTATGTGTGAAGCTACAGCGGTGCTTTGCTGCCTCCTAGTGGCCATTGGTTCATTTTAAGCCAACTGACTCGCCCTTTCGACTGGGCGCGGATTGAATGGGGCAAGGATACAGACACCAGAACTGGAGAGGAGTTCCTGGAGAACAGCCCTGCTCCTCATAGGAGACTCTGGGCCCCAAGCTTGTAGCATAACAAGGGTCTCAACTGGGTTAGCCAGATGAAACACTTGTACACGAATTACACGTGAGTCACAGGTCGTAAAGGCATGACCTCATTCACTCCTGGTGACAGCCTATGAGGTGGGTCCTTTTACCTCAACGGAAACACAGAGGGGTTCAGTAAAGGCCACACAGATAGAAATAGCTGGGCTGGGTTTTGAATCCTGGTCAGCTTGACTCCAAATTTCACATGGCTGACGGCTGCTGTTTCAACATTGCAAGGACCTAGATCTATCTTCTCTGCCTGTCATCTCTGAACACCCTCTGCTGGCCATAGTTCTAGAAGGGTGTGTGAGGAGTGACAGACAAGCTTTTCATTTCCTGGTGCTAATAGTCTCTTCACCTGTGCCTTTTTTGGGATCCCTCCAGAGCCCCACAATATGCTGGCTTCAAGAGGGTTCCTGGGTGCTCTGTGACGTAGGCCTATTTGTGGTAATGAACTTGATGTAAGTTGGGGTCTGGCTGGGATCCTGGTGACCGAGTGGCTGGGTGTTTGCAGGGGAGCCGTATCTGGAGCCTGCATGAATCCTGCCCGTGCCTTTGGACCTGCCGTGGTGGCCAATCACTGGGACTTCCACTGGATCTACTGGCTGGGCCCGCTCCTGGCCAGTCTGCTCGTAGGAGTGCTCATCAGGTAGGAGTGTGACCATGGGTCACCAGCCCCTCTGATGGGCTTCTGGTGGTGATTCCCAGAGTGTCCAGGGCTAGAATCTCACTTGGGGTTAAAAAGGGAAGAGGGAGGCTTCTTCAGAAGCAAAGATTTTGGCTCTGGGACTTTTGGTTGCAAGAGACAGAAATCCCTCTCCACACAGTTTATGTCACAAGTGGGAATTGACTGGCTCACAGAACTGAAAAGTTCACAGGTAGCTCTGGCTTTAGGTGGGTGCTCAAGCCATGTCTTTAGGCCTTGTTCTTTCCCATGGGCTCTCCTCTCCTCTGAGCAGGGCTCATGCTCTGAGAGGCTCTCTAGGAGAAGCTGAGATGCTCACCAGGAACTCTAGGCTTATATCCCAGCAACGTAATGACTAGAACTTCGTTCTAGTTCCACTAGAATGAAGCCTCTAGCAAAAGTCCAGGGTCTGGTGTTCACTGGTTTGGACTGGCCCAGCTTGGGTCATGTCCACCTCTGAATCCATCACTGGAGCCATGATGGGGAGGGTCAGGCACGCTTATTGGCTGTGTCTGGAGTCAGGACGAGATGAGCCTTCCCTGCACAAGCCTGTGCACCAAGAGAGGGGGAGGAGTGGTTCCTCACAGGGCTGTCGTACAACTCCAGGGAGCCCCATCCACAGAGAAAACCGTGTACATGGTGCCTCCAAGAGCATGCCTGCTAGAAGATGCCATTCACATGACCTGCAGTATAAATAAACAGTGCTCCGTAGCATCATGTGGTGGGCGATGAGTTTGGTATTAGCAGAAGGATCATATCTGCTTGACTGCTTCTCCCTGAACTCTCCTTTGGTGACCATCCAAAGTCTGTAGGGTCCTGTTTTTTCTGCTCCAGGTCACGTGGGGACTAGGGTCTGGATCTGATACAAGCTGGACCTTCCTCCCACAGTCTGAGAGAGCACAGTTGCTGGGCTGGTGTAGGGTGTCTGCCATCACTGCCCATCTGCAGTCCTGGCTAAGCTAGATAATTGTCTATTGCTTTTGGAGTGGCAGAGATGAGAATCTTCAGGGAAAGAGTTGGAACACAGGAAGGAGTTTCTCCCTTTCCCCAAGGGGAATTGACTATTGAGGCTGGAAAGGAAAGCATCTCTCTGGAGAATTCTGGACCTGGAGACCTTTGGCGAAGGGCTGGGTCTCTCCCCTCAGAGGACTGGAGACCTCACTGGGCCATTTTTCTGTAGGCTCTTCATTGGAGATGGGAAGACCCGCCTAATACTAAAGGGACGGTGACTCCAAGCTGGTGATGTTCCTGCGGCCCAGGTGGCCTCCGGGTTACAGACAAGCCACCTCCTGCATTTCCTGCTGGGACAGAAGCCCAGAGGAGCTGACCACCTCCTTCCCCCTACGTGTGCCTGGCCTCTCAAATGCCAAGTTCTGAGGATGCTCTAGGTTCTTTGAATACCTTCGTGCTCATCAGAGATCCCAGCCTAGGGAGCGCGTTTCCAGCCCTGCCCAGCACCGCAAATCAGAGGGGTTTGAGGGGTTTTTCTTGATCGGGAAACTCCCAGGAGCAGAAGAGCAGTTGGAAGCCGTGGCTGTTTACATTATGAGTTCCTTTCTCCCTCCCCCTTTCTTTCTCCTTTTCCTGGTCCCCGACTCCTCTGTTACAGAAGGGCCTGCTGTGCTCTGTTTCCTTGCTCCCTGAGCTGCCAGTCTAGCTTTGCAATAAATAGTCCAGTATTTCTGTTGGTGTGGACTTGCTTTTTCATTTCAGAAATGAGCACTGCTGGAGAGAAAGCAGAAGTCCGGGTTGGGCCTTAGCCATCTAGAGTCTAGTTATCAGGGGTCTGGCTTAGAGTCCACTGCCAAGGTAGGTACTTAGGATGCAGGCCACCCCAGAGCCCGTCTCTTACTCAGCCAGATCCCTCTCGGAGCTCTGCCAGGAACTCAGAGTCAGTCTCTGATAACAGACTGTAGGGTCCTGTTGAAATGCCCAACACAGAGTCCAGGGTCTGGGTTAGTGCCCAGTACTACCTAGGACATGGGCCAGTCCACTCAGGGCACTCTGCTGGGGGTGAGGTGGGGATGGGGGCAGGCCAGAGCGGCAAGTTTCTCCTGAAGAAATCAATAATGTAGCATAACATAGTTCTGGAGAGACAGTGGTCTTTGGATGAGATATGAATATCATGAATAATAACAGGAAATAAAGAAGAAAATGCTCACTGGAGAAAATCACCAGCATGCTTTGAGGCTGCCTGGTGAGAAAGCAGACATGCTACATGCCCAAACAGCCAGAGCAGTTTTTGGAGGAAAAGAAATAACAAACAATAGTAACAGCAGTAAACCTAAAAAAGAAAAGAAAGAAGAGGGGCGCCTGGGTGGCTCAGTAGGTTAAGCCTCTGCCTTCGGCTCAGGTCATGATCTCAGGGTCCTGGGATCGAGTCCCGCATCGGGCTCTCTGCTCAGTGGGGAGCCTGCTTCCCTCTCTCTCTCTCTGCCTGCCT